GCCACACCTCATAGCCCATGAGAGGCACATGGCTGGGAGAGAAGCTCTGCTAGATCAGTCGTGACTCATAGTCTGTTGCCCCAAGCTCACCTGTTGGCTTGCCTGGGGAAGGTGGCTAAGGGGAAGACGAAGGCAGGGGGGTGGGACTGGGTCCCCAAACCGCAGGAAGGCTCACCAGGAGGAGAAGCACTGCCGGGCAGTCAGTACCCACTGCTCCTTCACTAGGGACCCCCCGCAGAAATGCTGGCCCTGCCTGGAGGAGTGGGGTTTAGGAGAGGGAACAGTGAGTCCTGGGACACAAGATGGACCTGCCATCTCTTGGCTAGGACCTCTGAGGCCAGGAACAGATTCCCACCCTCTGCTGGTATAAGTACTGAGGATATAGCCTCAGCTCCTCTGGGGGAGACAGGCAGTTGTGCCTCACCGGTTGCGCAAGCTGACTGTCCAGGGAGAGTTCCCCGGCTGGCCTCCCACCATACGCAGCTTGGAGCGCCACTCATCCAGGTGAGCCACCCTCTTGCCACACTTCTCAAACAGCATCTGGACTGGTGGATGGGATGGGCCGCATGACTGACTGGATTGAGATGGGGGGCAAATGGGTCCCGACCCAGGCTTGGCCCAAGTCCATACCTGGGGGCTCCAAGATGGACGGTGGTTTGTCATCATCTGAAAGACCCAAGTTCACCCACTTTAAGAGAGCCAGCCTTTGGCGGTGGAGGCTAGGGGCGGGGCCCCGGGGGAGTGTCGCCAGCGCTCACCGCAGCGCCGCAGTGCACAGTAGTCGAATGGAGTCCCCGGGTCAGTAGTGTAGCACCAGGGTCCATGGCTATCCCTGTCCGGGTTCCGGCAGAAGTTCTCCTCCAGTTGGGCGTGCGGGGCAGAGGTGGGCGTGAACCTAGGCGGGAGGGGGAGCCAAGTCATAGCAGGGTAATCCCCAACTCCCGCTGGGTTCCAGTTTGAGACGCCACAGCGTGCCGCCTTAGCGTTAGGACCAGGCGGGACCTGTGGCCTAGGTCTGGGAGGGGCCGGCCTGCCGACCGACTCACTGCGGCTTGTGCGGCGTCTCCGCGGACCAGCGCTGGCACGTTACGCCCTTGCGGGTCTTGCTGACCGAGCCGCGGTACCACTCCCCCGCGCCGCGGTAGCAGTCTGCAGCGGATGGGCAGGGGCAGCCGTCAGCCCGTTCTCGCCCCAGCCATCCAGCTCTGTGCCTCCAGTCCCAGCTCGGGCCTTACCCTCGGGCCGCACGTCGTCAGCGCAGCGCCGGATCTGGTAGCAGAAGGCCACGCGCATGCCAGGCCGTGATGTGAAGCACCAGGGCGCCTCCGAGCCGTCGGGGTTCCGGCAGAAGTTCTCCCGAAGGTCCCTGGGCAGGCGCTCCCCTCAGCCCTGGGGGTCCCGGCCTGCCAGCCCGCAAGCCAGGCCGCCTCCGGCTGGAGCCCAGCTTCCAGCTCCGCCCCAGGTCCCGCCTTCCTTCAAGCCCCGCCCCAGAGCCCTCCTCAGGTCCCACCCGCAGAAGTACGCCCCCAGTGGCGGCCCTACACCTTACTTGCACGCGTATTTCTCCGGCAAAAAGCGATGCTGATGCGGGTTCTGCGCGTCCCAACGCTGGCAGGGCACGCCCGCGGCGGTAGTGTTGGCCGTGCCCCGATAGCCCTCGCCCTTCCCGCGGAAGCAGTCAAGGGTCGTGGCTTCGTGGCGTGGCTGTGTCTCGGACCCTTGGATGGACGGAAGCCGGTCGGAGCACGAGCGGGAGCTGAGACCAGGACTGGGGCTGAGGCCAAACCCCACTCTTGACTGTCCCCAGGCGGCTCACGCCCAGCCCCTCCTCTTTCTCCGGCCAGGCCACGCCCGCCCACTTTTCCCAGGTGCCCTCCTAGGCCCCGCCCCGCGCCCTACCGCAGAGGGGGAGGTCGCAGAACTCTCGCTCCGTCTGCGGGTCTGTGGTATAGCACCACGGCCGCTCCGAGCCGTCCGGATTCCGACAATAGTTGTCGTCCAGATCTTTGTCAAGGAACCTGGGGGCGGTAGCGGGGCGTGAACAAGACCCTGGGACTCAGGTCCTATCTGACCCGGACCAACGACCGCCTATATTCGGCCCCGCCCCTGAAGGCCTGGGCCCGCCCCTAGCGCGGTCTCCTTGGTGCCCAGCCGCCCGCGCGTACTTGCCCGGCTCAAAGGGGTGCGCGTGCGGGTGCTGCAGGTCCCAACGCTGACACTCGCGTCCTGACTCGGTGCGGTCCACTGCGCCGCGGTAATCCTCGCCATTGCACCAAACGCAAGCAGCTGGGGACATGGGGCCGGTGGGTTCGTGGATGGGCGTGGGCATGCTCCTCCCGCCCCGGGCTCAACTCAGAGGTGCTTACCCTCCCGGCACGACTTGATGCCGCAGCTCTGGAAGCGCACGGCAGGGTCTGTCGTGTAGCACCAGGGACCTCCCGGGTCCCCGTCAGGGTTGCGGCAGAAGTTCTCCTCCAAGCCATTTCGGAGTGTGGGTGTGTACCTAGGGGCAAAGAGCAGCAATACAGTGCTTGCTGAGGGCAGGTGCCGGGCCAGGCAGGGACAGAGGGGAGGTGTCTGTCTCACTTGTGATCATTGGGGAACCTGTGGCTCCAGCGCTGGCAGGGTAGGCCAGCCGTGGTGATGGCCACAGTGCCCCGATACTTGACACCATTGTCCATGATGCAGGTCCGCACATAGTCTGGGAGCAAGAGATCCGCGGTCAAGAAGGCCTGAGGCCCCATCACCCCTATCCCCTGCCTGCCCTTCTCCACAGCCACTCACCTTTCTTTTGGAAGAGATCGCAGCGCCCAGAACGCTGCAGCCGTGTATGGGGTGAGTGCTGAGTCCATGGCAGCAGTTGGCAACCATGGCTGCTCACGTTGTAGTGGAAAGCCCTGGGAGGAGGAGGCACAGGGTCACCCAGTGCCCAGGTTCCCCTGCCCCCAGTCTTACCTAGGTCCTGTGACCACTTGCCTGCAGTCCAGTAGGGGTCCACAACGCCCTGCACACTCCTCAGCATCTGCCACGTCCTCTTGCCAAGGCCTGGGCCCCACTGCATGTAGCAGGTGTTGCAGCTCCATACCCCGGAGCACCTGGAAGTCATTCAAGGGCGAGCGCTGCCCTGCAGGGTGGGCATGCATGTCAGTGCATTGTATATCAGCATGCTCACTCTTCGTTCCTTCAGGGGATCAAAACTACAAGGCCTCTGGGATGGACTCTGTGCTCACATTCAAGGGTCAGACCCCTGTACAGGGTGGGAGAGGCAGGCACAGATGTGGTGGTTATCACCAGCACCCCTGTTTAGTGGGCAAGGCACTAGGCTCAGGTCTAAAACATACACCATGAGAGCAGTGGGTGATGGTGCTTGCCCTGTGGAGCTTGACCCATCTCATCTCTCAGATGAGAATGCTAAGGCTCAGAGCTGTCATACTACCCAGGCAGAGGCCTAACCCAGGCATTTTGACTCCAAGTCTGGGCTCTCACCAGCATGACAATATATGCTAGGTTAGATCAGACCTGTGAGGAATAACTGCCTGCATGTGTGTATGCATCTGTGAGGTCCCAACACTGCCTCAATGCTACAGTAGATATTCTAACGCAGGCCTGAATTAGCAGTGTATATATGTATTCCTGGGGCTGCCCAGTTCTGTGCAAGAAGCCAAGGTCACTCACTGCTCCATGCCCAGTAGGAAAGTGAGCTCCTGGCTCGAATAGCATGATGGGCCTGGGGTCGACCTCTTCCTGAAGGCAGATGGGGATGGTGTCGGGGGCACTCACCAGGGGCCCCTGAGCACTGGGTCAGAAGCAGCAGTAGTGGGAGCCACCCCATTCTCCTGGCCGGAGGCTGCACTGTGACCCACCAAGGCCTCATCCGGGAAGTTGTGAAACCTGTCCCTACGGGATTGGGTGGCTCTGGCTCCACACCCCCACCCCAGGCCTGCTGGGGCCTGACCTGAGACCCAGTGGCAGGAATGTGGGTGGGGCCAGGCCTCAGGCCCCCTGGGTGAGGTGCAAGGGCCCTCACTCTGGCACAGCTAGCCCCTGAGAGATTGCCCTCTGTAGTGGGCAGGTGTTGGAAAGGTTCAGTGGGGAAACTCGAGATACCCTAGGGTTGGGGTAGAGCCCCCCTACAGCCTGGGCTGCTCTGAAGGGAAGGGCAGTGTGGACATATTCACTGCCAGAGGCCTGAGTTCCAGCCCCTGGGCGGTGATGTTAAACTTTTCTGAGCCTTAGCTTATCCCTGTAAAGTGGGGAGCGTTCCCTGCCCCAGCCCTAAAGCAGCCCGCCCCTTTTGCTGACTTATCGGTGCCAGCTGTAGGCAGGTTGGCCCACACCCCTGGCAGCAGAGCCCAGAGAGGCTCCCCTCGCCCCACCAGAGGTGCCATCCCAGGGAAGGTAAGCGAGGTCACCCATCTGGCCGGAATGGAGGTGGGGCGAGAGGTAGTAGGGACCCTGGCAGGTGCGGCCGTTCAGACGTCCTACAGGACATCTGAGCCGAGCCTCCAAGTACGAGTAGGAGTTAAGATAGGCGGCCTGGGGCTCCCAGTTAGGACGTTGCGTTCCGACACAGCTGGACCAAGAGCTCCTCCTGTGCCAGCGGGGCTCGGAGGCGGCTGGGCTGTGGGGTGAGGCAGACGCCGGGAACAACCTGGCTGGAGGCTGCAGAGGAGGCCCCCTGGCGGAGGCCGGGTGCGGACCGATGCGCGTGCGCTACAGGCGCGCGGTTTGGCCCTGGACGGACGCCGTAGCCGAGAGGCTGGGCGGATGTTGTGAGCCGGGACGCCGAGGCCAAAGCTGGGGGTGAGTGAGGGGCGGCGGGGCTTCCAGCTCGGCGGCCCCCGCGACTCCCCTCGCGGCCCCGGCCTGTCCGGTGCGAGGGTGCTCGTCGCGCGGGGGTCGCAGCCTATGCTGCAGGACTCCGGGCTGGAGCTGGCCTGGAGGATCCTCCGGAGCTTGGGGCCGGGCGGGGGCGACTGGGGGGGACATTCGCTGCCCTCCGCGTCCTTGGGCTCCGAGATGGGGTCGGTTCGGTTTCGAGCCCAGATCCCTCGGCGAAACTGGACAGGATCGACGTGGCAGGGAGCCCCTGAACAAAGTCAAGATCCGCCTCTCACCTGGGTCCTCAGCACCTGACACCCGGTGTGGATGTCCGGAAAGTTTACTAATCAAATGAGTGACCACGTCTGGTCTGTCCTGCGCCTGCCCTGGTGTGAGAGGGGCAGCGGCCGGGAACGCTGGCGGAGGGCCTGCGGTGGGCGGCAGGGCGGGAGAGTCACCTTCCCGAGGGGCAGGCGTGGTGCGGACTGTGAATGGGGAAGGGTGTGTGGTGGAAGCAGAGAGCCTGTTTGGGGTGAGATAAGAGACTAGGCTGCAGAGAAGTGAGTGCTATCTAAGGCAGTGCTAGAGGGCCAGGCTCTAGACCACTGCTGTCTAATAGAACTTTCTGTGATGATGAAAATGTTCTGTTTTCAGTGTCTAGTACAGTAACCACTAGCCACATGCAGCCACTAAGTCCTTGAAATGTGGCTAATATAACTGAGAAATTGAATTTTTAATTTTTCAAACTTTAGGTCAAATTTAAATAGCCACGTGTGGCTAGTGTTGGGCCGCACAGCTCTTGATCATTGAGGCTGGCACCAAACGACAGTGCAGCTTCTGAAGCAGCAGCAGCAACACCATGATATGTGAGGGATGGACAGCAGTGGGAAGACCCATGGGGTCTGTGATGAGGACTGGGCAGGGATGGTGCTCTGATGGGGTGGGAGGCTGTGTGTATGAGTGGAAACAAGAAAACTAGAAGGCCTTTGGATAGGAGAAGGGAGGATCTTGGAGCTGAGGAAGGAGGTCGTAGCTTTGGGTGTCAGCAAGACTTGTAGCTGGAGATGGCACCAAGCCTTTGAATGGTGGACTACACTTGGGGGAATGTGGTGTAGGGTTCTCTCTTCTGGATATGAGCTGGACCCAGTGTGGCTTACAACTGAGGATACAGGGGCTCTGCCCATAGGCCACCTCACTTTGGATGCTTTAGTCTGATTTTCCCAGGGTTGAGGCATTTAGTTTGGTTCAACAAACATAGTCTGGCACCCGTTCTCTGTCGGGCCCTGTGCTAAGTACTGGGACATGGTGAGGCCCTGTCACATGGGCCCAGACCCCACCCACCGTTCCTGTATAGGAAGCTGGGAGCCCCTGCTTTCCTCTGCTCTGTGTTGGTATGTGTGTGAGTGTGCGTGCACCTGACTTTACCTGCTCCCAAGCCTTCCTGCCACCCCAGGACTGAGGTCAGTGTGGAGACCTTTGGCTGGTTTCACATAGACAGGTCTGCCTCTCACTCCGTTCCCAGGACCACTGGCTGCCCACAAGACATGAAGGATGGCATCCAAGGGGGCCGGCGTGTCTTTCTCCCGCAAGAGCTATAGGCTGACCTCAGACGCTGAGAAATCCAAGGTCACAGGTAAGGGTTGGCAGGGCTGGGAGGATGCTCCTTGTGTTGAGGGAAGGAACAGGAAGAGACAAAGGCGGCAAAATCTCAGGTCCAATGAGTCTCAGGCCTTGCTGCCCTCCTAGTCCTCATGAGCCAGTTGTTTTCTACCAGCAACCATGGAGCAGTACACCCAACGTGACTGCTCTTCTGACCCCTGTGGCTAGCCTAGGACCAGGAGCCTCTGGGAGCTGTACTGACCAGGTGACCCTTCTTTCCCTTCTGACCTGTGGCCCAGGCATTGTCCAAGAGAAGCTGCTTAATGACTACCTGCACCGCATCTTTTCCTCTCGTGATCATACACCGACCACAGCCACCAACAGGTATGGCCGGGTGGGTAGCCCCTCCTCAGTCCATGGGACCAGACCACGGAGGCTGGCTTGTGGGTTAGGGGGCCTGGGCTTTCGATAGGCTATCTTGGGTTTCGTTCTCATTCTGCCACTTGGGGCTGTGAGACCTTGGGCCAGAGAGTCTGCCTTTTGACTCCGCTTCTTCTTCTTCCCTGGCAGTGCTAGTACCTTCTTTCTGAGGGTGTTGTGGAGGTTAGGGGCATGGTGCACATTCAGGGCTTGGCATAATACCTCATACCTACTCCACGGTCAGCATCTGGTCCCGTGTGCACCTGCCCACATATCTGCCCCACCCTGGCCCTCCCTGAATCTATAAAGTACAGACCATACCAGCCCCTTTTCCTTGGAAGTTTAATGCATTTTAGTCCATAAAAGAGTTACAGGTGCACTCTAGCAGAAACCTAGAAATAGATAGAAGAAGAAAAAGTATCTGTCCTCTCGTTATTCTGACATGACCATTTGAGCATGATTCCTTTCTGTTTTGTTCGTCTCATGATGTATGTAGTTCAGATTGTACTGTATAGAAATTTTCTTTTTAAATTTCCATCATGTTTAGTTCTTTTAAAAAAAGTTTTATTGAAGAGTAATTGACATACAACAAACCGCATGTATTCAACTCAGGAAGTTTTAATATGGATAATCTATGAAACCATCACTACCATCAAGATAGTGGATATAGCTCTCACCTTCAAAAGTATAGTTTAGATTCTATTTTTGTCAATAGGTTCAAATCAAACATTATTCCCTGAGTGTTTTTCTACGTTACAGATTGATCTTGGTGGGCACCTTTTAGGGCCAGGGGTCTGCAGAAGCCCTTGGCGCTGTCCTGGTTTGGAGGGGCTTTTGCTTTTATAAACAGTACTGTGAGGATGCCCAGGGTTGGAATCATGTGGCTAGGGCATTTGAACTACAATCACTTTTAAGACTGTTGTTAAATTACTTCTTTGAAGGGTCATGTAGATTCTGCCTCCCTGCAGCGAGGCATAAGTGTCCCTATCTCTCAGCCGCCTTGCCAGCCTGGGCTATTCTGTCTTCCACAGTCTTTGCTCTTGGGGCAGGCACAAAGGGCAGCATTGTTACCTATTACATTTAAGCGGCTGTGGTGGCCAAAGGATTCCTACTTGTGGAGGGCTACTGCCCACCTCTACCCGAGCCCAGTCCTGGCCTGTTCCCAGAGCCATCTGATCCCTACCTCATGTGATACCAGAAATGGTCCTGCTGCCACTAGTGCTGTGGCGGCCAGGATGAAGAGCAGGTGGCAGAGCAATCAGTCAGTGGTTGTTTGGATGCAGAACCCTGGGCTGGGACCCGGATAATGCAGAAAGGGCAGGCAAGTGTTGGGATTGGCCAAATGGGCAGTGCTGCAGGCACTCAGTGAGGCCAAGCCTCAGGCCGGCCACCCACAGCTGCTCTTGAGAGCAGACACAAGACTAAAGCAGTCCTCCCAAGTGTGGGCCAGTAAGAACTGCTGTTGAGGAAGCCCCCTTTATCCCTGGACCCATTGGGGTATTCCGGGATGGGGTTGGCTGCAGCCCTCCATGCTACCAGTGGGCATGCCATTGCATGGCTGCTACCTGGCCTTGGCCTGGGGCTCAGCAGGAGTAGGGAGGAGGCTTTGTGCCTCTCCACCTCCTCCAGCTCAGGGTCTGTAGTAGCTCTCAGCAGGGGAGCATGTGGTCCCTGAGCATGGGTTGAAATGACCTTGCCACAGAGTCGTTGCTTTGACCCATCTACGTCCCCTTCCAGAGCCTACTCTCTAGGCAGATGAATGGGGTAGGAGCTGGGATTAGAGGTGAAAGAGCAGGGGCCGGCAGTCTGTGGGCTGGATCCAGATGCACACTGGGCCTCTGCTCAAGCCCTGCTAGTTACCACCACCCCATTCCCTGCTATTCTTAGCAGCTGAACTCAGGACAGAGCTGGCCGAGATTAAACAGAGCCCTTCTCCTCTGGGCAAGTGTGCTGGAGGATGAGGGTGCCACTCAGACAGATTTTCCTAGCCCCTTTGGCTGGGGCAGGTGGCAAATAGGCAGGCCAGGTGCTCTACTCTCTTGTACAAGTGGGCACAGGACAAAGCCAGCCAACAGCTCAGAGGGCTCATCCTCCTAGGACATGTCTGATTCGATACACGGCTTGCCTGGCTGGGACCACAGGCCTGGGGTCAAGGGCTGGACTAGCTGTCCTTGATACTGACCACCTTATAGATCAGCATTTCTCCCGTCCTTCCTTTCCCGGGCATAATCAGCATAGCCACCTTTGAGAGTGGGCAGGCTCTGGGCTATGTGGGGAGCCCGCATTATTCCTTGGAATAATGCATCTCTGACATACAGCTGTTGATCCCTTTTTACAGCTGAGAGAATTAAGGCTTAGAGAGGGCTCTTCTTTTTTTTTTTAACACTCCTGAGGTACACCAAATTGGACCAGATTTTTAGTTTTGTGGATAATCCAGCCTTCTAACCCCTGGCATGCCAGAATCTAGGACTAGGCACAATCATTTTTATGGAGTCAAGGCAGCCACCCTCTGAAACTCCAGGGAAAGGGAGTGAGAGAGGGGTTTAGTGTCATCTGGCTGGTTTCAAGGACTTTTGGGCCCCTCACAGCCTCTTGCTCTTCCCAGGAAATCCCTGAACTTCCAGAACCTACCAGAGCATCTGGACCAGCTGTTACATGTGGACATTGAGGATGAGGAGAGCCAGGGTACATGACAGCTTCTGGAATGGGGTTGGAGGAGCCAAGACTGGGTCCTGGGGGACCCTGAGGACTCCCCTGGTGAGCTCAATGCACTCTTTGCATGCTGTCAGACCCTGTGCCCTGCCTGACCCCACACCCACTTCCCTCCTTTTCAGGACAGATTGAAGGGCGGCTTGGCCCATCCACTGTGGTCCTAGACCACACAGGTGGCTTCGAGGGGCTTCTTCTGGTGAATGATGACCTCCTGGGGGTGAGTGAGGAGCCCCAGGTCCCAGCCCCTCCTAACACAGCCCCAAGCTCCTCCTGATGTGGCCCTGGTCTCCCTACCTTTCTTGAGAAGGCTGTAGTCACAAACCCCTCCTGATGTGGCCCATTGGGTCCTCAGCCCCTAAACCCTCCTGACATAGCCCTGAAACCCTCTTGGTGTGACCCCAGCCCCAAGCTCTTCCTAACACAGCCATGAGCCCCTCCCATCATGCTCCTGGCCTAGAATCCCTCCTGACAGAGCCTAGGCCCTCCTACTCTGTTCAGGCACAGTGCAGCATTGGCCACAGCAGGCAAGCAGTGCCAACGTGAGCTGAGCTGGGGATGGGGCCATTCTCCCTTGAGCAGGCACTCTGTGTGCCCAGGAGAAGGCTCACCACCTCTGCTCTTCACCCAGGTGATTGGACACAGCAACTTTGGTACTATCCGCTCTACCACATGCGTGTACAAAGGTGAGCCCATGCTCTGCTGTGGCCCAGGGAGTTGGGAGAAAGTTTAAGAGCCCAGGCCTGAGGCTGGAGGCAGTCTTTGTTTACCTGCTGGGTCTGACTCTGCTTTTTCCAGGGAAATGGGTCTACGAGGTACTCATCTCCTCCCAGGGGCTCATGCAGATCGGCTGGTGCACTATCAACTGCCGCTTCAATCAAGAGGTTCGTGGGGGGGGGGGGCCCTCCCAGGAAGACTTTCTCCTGCTGCAGGGCTCATCAGAGCTCAGGCAGCCCCTGAGAATGCATGGGGTCTGCTGAGGACCCGAACCCGGACTGCCCTCTGGAGGGGGAATGTGTCCCACCCCATTTCTGGGCAACCCAGTCCAGAAAACAGCCCTCTTTCCTTTCCTGAGAGCATCAGCCCCCTTCTCTAGAGCCATATGAGTCCAAGGTTGGTGGCTGGTAGGCTGTGGCCTTGCCCCTTCCCACCTCCCTTGGACTTCACAGACACTTCCTCCCTAGGAGGGGGTTGGAGATACACACAACTCCTATGCTTATGATGGCAACCGGGTACGCAAGTGGAATGTGACCACAACAAATTATGGCAAGGTGAGGACTGAGCCCCCTGTGCCCACCTGCCCCATGTCCATCCAGCTAGGCGGGAGCCACTGGGCAACTGCGAGGGACTGTGGGGCACCAGGGAGGGGACAGGAACTCAGCTCCTCTGTTCTAGTGGCCAGTCTCCCTGGGTGATAGTGGAGACACAGCAAGAGGGGCAAAGTGAGCAGGCTGCGGGGGCTTCTGCGCAGCTATAAGGCCTCCTCCCCTTGCAGGCATGGGCAGCAGGGGACATCGTGAGCTGTCTGATCGACCTGGACGACGGCACTCTGTCCTTCTGCCTGTGAGTCTCTTGCCTCTAGCCACAGGCTTAGCCTCTGGGGCCTCCCTGGGCTTCCCTCAGTTTCCTGGTCTCTGTAAGGGGGCCAGGCTGACACTGGTAGCCCACGGGTGGATAGCCCCAACAAGGGCCTGCTCACTGGCCTGTTTTGGCCACATCCTTCTTATCACTGGCTCACAGGCCCTCCCTTCTCTAGGAATGGCGTGTCGCTTGGTACCGCCTTTGAGAACTTATCCAGGGGCCTAGGCATGGCCTACTTCCCAGCCATCAGCCTCTCCTTCAAGGAGTCTGTCGCCTTCAACTTTGGCAGCCGTCCTCTGCGATATCCTTTTGCAAAGAAGGCTGTGGACTGCTTGGAAGCTCTTGGGGAAGTTAGGATGGGGGTCTCCTGCTCTAGGAGCTCTATAGGCTTTTGGTGGGCCTCAGCTTCCTCAAGGAGTGAGTAGGGTACAGCTTAGATGGGTGCTGAGGACAACAATTCTTGCAGCAACCTTGTTAGGTAGGTACTGTTATTGTCTCTGTTGAACAGATAAAGAACATGAAGTGGCAAGAGAAGTTTCACTCCGTGGAGAATAAGTGGGAGAGTTGTGATGTAAACCATGCAACCAGACTCCACAGCCCTGCCCTAGAGCCTAGGCCCCTCCTCAGGGGTCTTAGTGGGGAGGAGGGGACAGGTGTGTCTGAGCCACAGATCAAGTATTGCTGGCTTAACTCTGTGGCACCTACCCAGTGACGGGCTACCGGCCCCTGCAGGACCCGCCACGTGCTGACCTGGTACGGGCACAGAAGTTGCTGGGCTGCTTCCAGGCCGTGCTCGGTGTGGAGCTGGACCCTGTGGTGAGCTAGGATCTGGGCCAGGTTGGCTGGGGGCCTTCTACAGCTCTCTGCTTCTCACAGTCCTCTTTCCTTCCCCACACACAGGAAGGGCGGCTGGTAGAGAAGGAAAGCTCCCAGTGGCAGTTGCAGGGCCAGCCCACCGTCCTCCTCACACTGGCCCACATCTTCCATCACTTCGCACCACTCCTGGTGAGGGATATTAGGGAGGGGAAGAGGCAGACCATGCTAGAAATGCCTGTGATAGGGGCTGGGATACTGAGGTATGTGAGGTCCAGCACCATCACCTGGCATCACCATGTGCCCAGAGTCCTCAGACCTTAAGGATGTCACCCAGGGGAGGAGGAAATGCTTCCATTTGAGGGTATCGGGATGTCCTAGAAAGAAGATTGAGGGGTAATGACATCACAGCCCAAGGGAACTGTGTGTACAGAGCCCCAGAAGGGCTCTGGGACAGTGGCCCTTCTTATATCTCAGTCAGACTCCAAAAGGGCTGACTCTATGTCTTACGGTTGCTTGCGGGGGCCCAAGAGTCCATCTATGCCTGTGGCCTTGGTCGTGTGCCAGGGCAGGGGTGCCCTGAATGGGGCAGAGGTTGCCATCTCACCAGTGCCCACTCTTGGTGCAGCGCAAGGTGTACGTGGTGGAGGCCGTGCTCATGAGCTTCCTGCTGGGCATCATGGAGGTGGGCACCCCAGCACAGGCGCAGTCCGTGGTGCGCCAGGTCCTGGACCTCCTGTGGCTCTTCATGGAGGTGAGGCTCCTGACCTCTGGTCTCAGGCCGGGATGTCAGGCTCCACTGAGATGGGGGAGGTAGAGGAGGGTCTTGGAAAAGGCCCCACAGATGACTGTCTTAGAACTTGCCCTCAGCCTGGTGTATCTCTGCAGGACTATGAGGTACAGGATTGCCTCAAGCAGTTGATGATGTCTCTGCTGCGGCTGTACCGGTTCTCGCCCATTGTCCCAGACCTGGGCCTGCAGGTAGGAGTTCCTGCCCCTGCCCTGAGCCCCTGGGCCTTACCCGCCCACTCTGAGTACTCCCTCTCCACAGATCCACTACCTGCGACTCACCATCGCCATCCTGAGGCATGAGAAGTCCCGCAAGTTTCTGCTTAGCAATGTCCTGTATCCTCCACTTGCTGCCAGGCAGGCCAGACACGTGGTGCCCTCTGGCTCAGCATAGGCCAGGGAGGGCAGTGTGCCCTTGGCCAGGGCTCCCCAGGGAGGTTCAGGAGCACCAGAGCCACCCCGTATGTGAGTCCTTGTTCTGGGACCCAGCCCTCCCAGCATTTTCTCTACAGAGCACGAGGGTGGAGCAAAGCACCCAGGCTGACTGGCCAGTCAGAGCAGGGATCTCAGGATGGCTACGGACTCAGGCTACGTGGAGGTCTGGGGGCACCTGCCCTCTTCAGCCAAAGCACTGCACTTTTCTCCACATTCCGTGGCAGGGGTTCCTACATGATCTTATTTGAGGAATCAGCTCTTCCCGCTTCCCTTGAACATTGAGAACTGCACAAATAGGAGAGAGAGTGTAGCTTTGGGCACTTGGCTGGGAAGCCTATGCTGGTAGCTGTCTTTTCTGCCTGGGGTCTTCAGCTTCCAGGAGGCAGAAATAAAGCTGGGAGACGGACTGGCCTCCACGCCGTCTCTCTGGCTTGTCCCACAGTCATCTGTGCCTGTGACAGGCCTTTTTCATGCACTTGCTGGGAATCGGGTTTGATAGGTTTGACAGCCACAGCTCTTTCTCAGGGCTCAGGGTTGGGGCAGACAGGCACGTAGCAGCAGTGGCACCCTTAGGAGTGGGAGAGCCGTGATGGGCACATCCGGAGGTGGGCAGGTTTTGGGAGGGCTTCCTAGGGACCACTCATGAGAGCATACGGGGCACCCTTTGGTGAGCAGAGCTCTGCCTTGACGACCGCCAGCTTTGATGTGCTCCAGTCCGTTGTCTTCTTTTACATCAAGAGCCCCCTGCGTGTGGAGGAGGCTGGTCTACAGGAGCTCATTCCCACCACCTGGTGGCCCCACCGCTCAAGCAGGGAGGTGGGCGGATCTGGGTGGGGTGGGCAGCGGTCATAGTGAGGGCTGGCACAGGGTATCTGAGCTACTTGGTACTTAGCACATGAGTCCCCTGCCCCAGCTCTGGCGGCTGGGCTGGAGGTGGGGGTAGGGGTCTTCTGTCTGAAGGAGGACTGGTAAGTCCTGGGTGAGCCCTGCTGTCTTCCGTCTTCTTGCCCCTGCCTAGGGCAGAGAGAGTAAGGAGGTGAAGGATGAGACCGCTGAGGAGCGGCTACGGCGGCGTGCCTATGAACGGGGCTGCCAAAGGCTCAAGAAGCGCATCGAAGGTCTGCCCCCTGCCTTGGGCACTAGGGAGGGGGTGGAAGATTTGTATACTTACATACTTAGGGGCCCTTGGTAGTGACCATGCCTAGGTTGGGCTCAGGGAGCCCTGGTGGAGGAGCTCTGACCCAAACCTGCTACCTGCTCCCATCCCTGGGAGCCTGAAGGCAAGGCCCTGCCTGAGGAGGGCTCAGTGTCGTGTTCCCCACCCCACCTGCAGTGGTGGAAGAACTCCAGGTCCAAATCCTGAAGCTGCTGTTGAACAATAAAGATGAAAATGGGGTGAGTGACTCTCAGACCCCTGCGTGGGTCGCTAGTGGGAGGGGTGCTGTGCTGGGCCTCGAGACACAGAGGGCAGGGGCTGGCTCAGCTTGCCATGGCAGGGTCCAGGCTGAGGCACAGCATTGAGTTAGTCCAGTCTGGGGCCAACATCCTGAGCTCATGACAGCCTCCTTTTTTCTTTCCCTGAAGGGTGAAGCTTCTAGGTACATCTTCCTGACCAAGTTCCGAAAGTTTCTGCAGGAGAATGCCAGTGGCCGGGGGGTAGGTGTCCCCTAGGCCAGCCCGCTGTGGACCCCTGGCTCTGTTGCAGGGTCTGCACCCCAAGCTTCTGACACCTCTCAGGCTGCCTTATCCATGTCTAGCCCTGCTCCTCCTCTGTTGCCCTTCCCTCTCCGCTCAGCCCAGGGTCCCGGGGAAGTCCCTGGGCTTTGGGCTGACGCAGATGCATGTCCTATGCCCTGTGCCTGCAGAACATGCCCATGCTCTGCCCCCCTGAGTACATGGTCTGCTTCTTACACCGGTTGATCTCTGCCCTACGCTACTATTGGGATGAATACAAGGCTTCAAACCCCAGCGCCTCCTTCAGTGAGGGTGAGTGGGGCCAGGGCCTTGAGTCTTAGAGGCTGGGCAGAGCCAGGCACAGGGCAGCCCCTAGTGTTGGTATGGAGTGCTGAGCTGAGGGTTTAGGAGAGCTGTCCCAGGCTTCCTGCCCAGTTGAGTCCTACCTTACTGACAGGCGGCTTCTCCACTGGGGCAAGCAGGAGCCCCGCCCTCCAGGACTGCCGAGCCCACGCTCACTCTGACTGCCCTTACAGGCTCCTGTCCATTACGGGCCCCTCAGTCCTAGCCTGCCCAGCCCTCTGTGCAGTCCTTTGTAGGGGACACCTTGAGTGGGCTCTGAGGTGCTAGGGGGCCCTGTGTTTGTGTGGGACAGAATCTTCAAGGGCCAGTGGGAGCCTTACCTGCCCTGGATTGGGGGTAGCCCATAGGGCTGGGTCAGGGTCCTCTCTGATTCTCCCCTGAGTGACCTGCCGCCAAGAATGCTTCTTCACCCCAGGTTGCAGTTGCTGGCACTGACCTGAAATAGCAGAGGGTGGGGGTGGCCACACTGTGTGCCTGGGCAGGTAGGTGGCCAAGGCCAGGGGTCCCCTCTGTGCTAGGCCAGAGCAGAGGTGTGGCCTCTGGGAGGATGTCCCTGCTGGGCTCTGACTGTGGCCTGGCCTCCCAACTCCTCCCAGAGGCCTACATCCCGCCCCAGGTCTTCTATAATGGCAAGGTGGACTACTTTGACCTGCAGCGCCTTGGAGGCCTCCTCTCCCACCTTCGGAAAACTCTCAAAGGTGTGTGCAGGCTGGTGGGCAGTGAGCCCGTGTGTGCTGGTGGAGGGCAGTCCCTGAGCCAGCTTTGCTGTGAGTGCCGAGCTACCCTGTGCCCACCAGAGGGCGCCCTAGTCTCTGACCTGCTCCTGCAGGGAGTTGCTGATCTGTCTGTCCACTTTGCCCTGGATCTTGGGTCCAGCTATCCTTTCCCTTGATAACCCACCTCAGAGGAAGTCTGGGAGCCCTGTAATGAAATAAGGAGCAGGTCTTCCAACAGAGGAAGGGACCATGGGATCTTGGTACGGTCGTTGGGGAGGAAGGGGGATGTGTGCAGTTGCTGCCTGAGCTGCTTTCAAGGATGAGCACAAGTGGCTCCATTGCAAAGGGCTGAGAGCACAGCATGAGCAAAAAGGATGCTGGAAACAGCCCAGCATGGCCCAGAGACAGAAAGTGGCTGGTTTGCCGGAAAGGAAAATGTGAGGCAGGGAGCGATGGGAAATGAGGCCAAGGAGTCTCAAGGGCAGAGTCTAAGGGCCTTGCAGTCTACAAGGTGGATGTAGGCTCATTCCAGGGGCAAGGGCAGGTTTTGGAAGGTCTTGAGGCAGGGGAGTAAGGTTGGGGGTCTGCATTATAAAAAGCTCCCTCTGGCTGCTGTGGTGTGGAGAATGGAGTGCAAGGGCTGAGCAAGGATATAGGAGGTTAGTTGTCCAGGCAACAGAGGAGGTAGAGGAAGGCACATGTGAGGGGCAGGAGCAGCCATGGTTGACCCCAGGCTTCTTGCCAGAGGCTGTGGGGATGGGGCATCATCAGGAAGAAGGGCAGCAGGAGAAGGCTGAGATGACAAGTTCCATGTGCTTGAGGTGCCCGGGGATGCAGCCAGGACCAGGGCCTGGGCTAGAGGTAAAGGTGGTGCAGTCAGCTGTCAGCCTAGAGATGGGGACAAGCCTGCAGTGAGGACTGGACCCTCTGGGGAGTGTGCAGAGTGAGGTGAGCAGAGGCCTACGCAGCCCTGGATCTCCTTTTGTTTATGGGGCAGAACAAGGAAGGAAGCAATGGAGCAGTCGGAGAAGTGGGGGGACCTAGAGAGCTTGAAGTCACTGGAAACAACAGAGGGACTGACAGGGAGGGTGTGATGGGAATGCCTCCTGCTACTAAGTGCCTACAAGACAGGGCTCCAGGGATGCAGTGAGGGCTAGGTGGAGTAAGTGGAGGGGTGAAGTGCAGGCACAGTGGTAAATGGGGCCCTGCAAGCCCTCCTGCCCAGCCAGCCAGTGCCCTCTTGCGGTCCTTGGCAGTTCCGTCAGTGACCCCTCGCCCCTCCACTGGCCTGAGAGCCCTCCTGCCATTCCTCTCAGATGACCTTGCCTCCAAGGCCAACATCCTGATTGACCCACTGGAGCTCCAGGCAGCCACCATGGATGACCTGGATGAGGATGAGGAGCCAGCCTCGGCTGCGGCTGCAGCTGCAGCCCAGGTGCCGTGGTAGGGGCAGGCAGGGGGCTTCGTGTTGGACTGTCCCTCTATCGTAAGGGCAAGGGTTCCTCTATCACAGGGCCATCTCCCCTTCCTTGCAGGCAAGGAGCTTCTCACCAGGCAGCTTCCCTTGCTGTAGGTGGAGGCATGAACCTTCCCTTCCCATTCCCCATCCCCACAAATCAAGGTAGCCCTAAGTGGGCTCAGGTCCTGGGGAACTGATTGGCACCTGGCCTCCTCTCTCCACCACAGCGCCCCATGCAGGCCCTGGCCATGGGGGGCGCACTGCCCCTGCCTCGGCCTGGCTGGCTCAGTTCTCCAACCCTGGGCCGAGCCAACCGCTTCCTCAGCACAGCAGCTGTGAGCCTGATGACCCCACGGCGGCCTCTGAGCACCTCGGAGAAAGTGAAAGTCCGCACGCTGAGCGCTGAGCAGAGGACCCGTGAGGACAGTAGGTGCCAGGCAGTGCCAGGCGTAGCATTGAAGGATCCTTCCATCATGTACAACTCCCCATCCTGGGCAACGCCAGGATGTACCCCCATTCCCTCCCAATCCTGTGGCCTGGCAGTATCTCAAGGGCGTGGGAAGTACATTCTGAGGGCAGGAAATCGATGCTACAGAAATAGGACCTGGAGCTGCAGGACCTTGCCTTGCCCTCCTCCCATGTTCTCCTTGCAGGTCCCTCCTAGAGCCCAGGCAGGGGAGAGGGCTTCCTTTTCCTGCTATGAAGCCCATCCTGGCTCCACAGGCTTAGGAGAGAACTGGACTGGCCCCTGACCCTGACCCTGCCCTTCCCCCACTCCTTAGTTGAGGGCAGCCACTGGAATGAAGGCCTGCTGCTGGGACGACCCCCTGAGGAACCTGAGCAGCCCCTCACTGAGAACTCCCTGCTGGAAGTCCTAGACGGTGCTGTCATCATGTATAATCTCAGCGTTCACCAGCAGCTGGGCAAGGTCTCGCACTGTTGGTCCATGCGCTTGTCATGCAGCTCTGCATGTTTAGATGTGTGTGTGTATGTGTGTGTGTTTGCGCGCACCCACATGTGCACATGTGTGTGCAGGGGTGCCGTGTGTGACTGTGTATGTGAGCATATGCCACAGCAAGACTATTTCCTGCCAGTGCTGTTTAGGCTTGACCTGTTTGACTTTTCTCGGGGTGGGGGTCGCTGTCCTGGGCCTAAGGTTGGGAGCTTGGCAGGCTGGGGTCCAGGCTGGGTCTGAAGAAACCTGGGCGAGGTGCCCAAGGGTCACCCTGGACATGTGGTGTCCAATGCTCTAGATGGTGGGTGTGTCCGATGATGTCAATGAGTATGCAATGGCTCTGAGGGACACAGAGGACAAGCTTCGCCGGTGCCCCAAGTGGGTAAGGCTTGGTCAGGCTGGTGGGTCTTTGGGAAGGAGGGGTGTTGAAGAGGGGCAGCTTGCCTGCTTGGGGTCTCCAGGGCAGGCCACAAAAGAAATTTAGGCTATCCTGCCCCTGCTCCTGGGGGTTGTCCCAGCAGTTCTCCTTGTCCCTGCCCCCGCCCTGGCCATACCACATCAGTAAGAGCAGGGCTGGCACCAGGACCAGGCACGGCCTGAGCCGTATCATCTAGCTGCAGCCTGTGCCAAGGTGCTCCCACCCCTGGCCCGCTAAGTGCTGACACAAACCCACTCTCCTCATCAATTATGGATTTGACCCTGAGTGCTTCCTCGGCCACTTGCAAAGTCAGCAGGAAGCAGGGCCTGTCTCCCCGACTCCCCGGGAGCACCTCTGCTGGAGCTATCCTGGCGTGGGGAGTAGGGCCAGTCATGCCCAGGCTAGGGTTCCCTGGCAGGCCCCCACCCCCACCCCCACCTGTCTGCAGAGCCCCAGGCTTGGCCAGAGTGAGAGCAGCTGCTGAAGCTGTGCTTCTAGCATAGAGTCCTTGGGGCAGCCCAGCCAGGGGCTCACAGACCCCCAGCTGCGTCTCACTTCCACGTTCTGAAGGGACAACTATGGCCCTGTTCTGAGGCTTGACATCCCAGCAGGTCAGAGGGAGAAGAGGGTTTTGTAGAGTGGAGCTGAGTCTGCCCAACCCTTTGCTGGCCCCCAGTGGCAGTGAGGCCCCTCCTTGGACTGCCTGGGGGGAGACAGGGTGGGTCTGGGCATGAGGCCATGTCCTGATTGTCCTCTTTTCCCCTTGGTGCCAGAGGAAGGACATCCTTGCAGAGTTGACCAAGAGCCAGAAGGTTTTCTCGGAAAAGCTGGACCACCTGAGTCGCCGTCTTGCCTGGGTCCATGCCACAGTCTACTCCCAAGTGAGTAGATGTGGCCTTGGCCAGTGGCTGCTGCCCTCCCCAAGCTCACTGACTAGTCACAGATTGGGCAGGTTTGTGCCAGCACCTCCATACGCCCTGCCCTCCTGGGCCTCTGGCACACACTTGCCACCTCCCCGCCCCTCATCCTCCCCCCTCCCACCCCATGCCACATCCCCTGAACCTCTCATGCCTCATGAACTTGAGTAGATGTCAT